ATATTTCCGGTGCGATGGCAGTCCAGATTGTGTGATAGCTCTGACGAACGAGGCTGCGGTGTAGTAAGTAGTCTGCAGATTTATTAATACTAATTTTATTTTTAGTAACATAAAAAGAATTGTCGGGTGGACTAATTTATTCTAACTCTAGAAATACCTGATAAAATTTTTAAGGTAAATTGAAGTCTTATCTCTTGGGATATTTTTCCAAATTGCTTTAATACCTTTTGCATTAAATTTCTGCATTGACACCAGTCGTGCCTTCCTGGCCAACAGTTTAGCTAAGCATTATTAGCTAGATCTTGGCCACCATAAGATGGCTACCTATTAACTTGTAGCAGACTCAGATTTGATCCTGGAGTGGATAGTCAACCTATTGGTCCCTTACCTGTAAGGGCACGTAAATGTATTTCCATTGAAGAGTAAGGGAATGAATCATCAAAGTAGTTAATGAATGACTAGAGTACAAACTGTTTGATTAGTACCACTTGTTTAACCTGGTCTCGCAGGAAGAAAACGCTTGCAAGAAAAATCACTTCATGTGTGTCAAGAACAAAGCGTGTATTCCCCTGCTGTGGAAATGCGACAACGAATCTGACTGTATAGATGGTTCCGACGAATATAACTGCTCTGTAAGTATTGCTCGCATTAGTAGAGGCTTTCAAAAGCTTTAGCTTTCTTACCTAAAGCTTGCTTAGGGTAAAATTCCTCCAGGGACTGGACGTGCTTTGTTTCTAATTCCTTTAGTCTAGACACTTGTGCTAGACAAGCTTTCTAATGAAAATAGTTTTATTGTGGTAGTTTAATGCATAAACAATTTTTTGCATTCCTAACTTGTCCTAGGAAGTCACGAGCCTCTAAACTCTTCAAAGCTTTATCAGGTTGACTTTGCTTACTCTACGTCTGTGACAGAAAAGTTACAGCTTATACCCAGGCTGTCGGGTTAACAGGAAGGAAAACGAATTTGCGGTTCTTCTGTGGACTTTACAATCGCCTCAGTCACTTTGACTTTAAACTTTTGTAAAGTGGCTGACCCTGGAAGCTGGGTAGGACCACATTAAGGTCCTTGATACCGGGGAGAGAGGGATCTCGGATTAGACATTTTGTTCTAACGTCCTTGCCTTGGCTTCCCCAGAAGCTTGGAAGTAAGGGTGTTCCCTCGTGACTAGTTCAGTAGGGGAAGGACTTCTCCAGGGAGTGTTTGGCTACTTAACCAAATTCAATTTAATTTACCCTCCTTTCCCAATTTTAACTAGCCACATCTTCAACCCGTTTTACGAATTTGGTTTTCGTAACTATTGGTGTCCCCCCCCCCTGTCTTCGCAAGTGTTAATTCTTCAGTAGCGCAATATCTGCCATAACTTAGTTTTGAAGTGAGAAAAAAGATACTTGCAAAAGGAAGTAACTTGTCATCTTGAATAGTAAGTACCGCGCAGGCACAGTTTACCTCTTCCTAAAGCCTAGACTAAGTCTTTTAAATAAGACTAACTTTTAACTTTCATACTGATGTTTACCAAGAGGTAAATGTTGCAGGTGGCCACCACATGCTTGGATCACCAGTACAGATGTCGTAGTGGCAGATGTATCTCTCACGCATTGGTGTGTGACGACTCTTTAGACTGTCCTGATGGTGACGACGAGGAACAGTGCAGTAAGTACCTTTGACTCTGTACGCCCTTGAAGGTGGGCACTGAAGTGCTTCGTAATTATCACTTCAGTGCCTTTAACTTCTCGATGAGATTGTGGCTTTGCGTCACGCGATTTTTACAGCCCATTCACCATTAAATAGTGTAACATGGGCTGTTGTTGTAAGGTTTTAAAGTTCTTGGTTTTATTACACATTAGTCCATACATCTTGATTAACCTTGCTTTCCTAATGTACATGTTGGATTTAATATTTTACATCCTCGCTTAAACTGAGTAAACGTGTAAACTTTTCCAGGCACTCTGGCATGCATGTCTGATCCAAAGCACTTTTTGTGCAAGTCCGGCACTTGCCTTCCTCGTGAAGCTGCGTGTGACGGCAAGGACGACTGTGGAGACGGCAGCGACGAGGGTGGCCGCTGTAGTGAGTAAACATTCATGGAACTAGCTAAGAGTATTAATTTAGCCACATTGGCTCGCTTTCCTCCCCCAGATACCCATCCAATCGATAAAGGCAGATGCAGTCTGCTAAAAATTGTAATTTTTTTCCATGAACTTGAGAAAAAGTCTTCACGTTTTAAAGTCTGTTTAAATGGTACTGTAACACTTGGCTGAATGGCCTTGCTGTTAAAGGGCTTTTTGATGAAAAATAATGAAATGCATATCACGGTAAACCTACGATACCAAAATACGCAAAACCAGTACTATGAAAAAATTAACTTTATTTCTCGCTTTAAGTTCCTTGACAGTGGAGAATCGCGGAACAAATTTTCACGGCAAAGAACTGGGCGTTTCGTTCTCTTGTATCAGGAGACTGCCTCACGACCAGCTGCTGTCAACTTTATCCCTCTTCTCTCCTTGTTTCCATGTGACATCGCATAGCTTTTGTAGGCTTTCTGAACATTAATACCTTTTAATTTCCATGTAATGACCTGTGAACAGCTATGGCTTTTCAGTGCTAATGGTTAACTATTAGGAACCTGAGCCACACGTTTCCTAGAGCTTCCATGTACAGAAAGCTGGAAAATTGAATAAGTTGTCTTGACTCGCGGCGACGAAAGCAGTACAAAGTAACTAAAAATTTTGTAAAACTATAATCCTGATCATAGTTTGAAGGCACATGTAATACAGGAAATACTTTTAAGCCAATAAATCATCTTAAACCTGGAATGAGTAGTTAGTCCTGTCCCCCCCCCCTTCTATTTCAGATTTCTTTATGGAATCTGACTATATAGATTGTCGTTTCTTTCCAGACGAAACTTGCAAAAACTGCGCTTACAATTGTGTGAAGACTCCGCTTGGTCCTCGCTGCTCTTGTCTCGACGGCTTTAAGATAACCTCAAGTGGTTCCTGTGAAGGTTAGTGGAAAAACCCTGTGGTGGAATGGTATATAATTGGTAATTTAGGTACCAATTCATTTCGGTTAATTCGTATAAATTTAACTTTAATTTCCAATAAACTTTATTTCAACCTATTAAATTTTATTGCCCGGGGTGTAAGTAGGATCAATTTAAAAAAATCAGAAGTAAATTATCTGATTAAGTGAAAATAGTTGACCGCGAGACTAGACTTAGGAGACAGTAATCTACCAGTTTCTTTAAAATTAGTTTCGACAACCATGTACATTCCACCTCGGTGCTCCAAATGTTCTGACTTCCATGAACTGGCTCTTCCAGCAAAGTTTTTTTTTTTTTTTTTTTTTTTTTTTTTTTTTTACTCATCCACACTAAACCTGGAGTGGGAAAATTTTTACTGCACAAACACCCCTTCCCCTAAGTTTACTTTTTCCAACCGCTAGGGAACTGGTCTATAGTTATTTGAAATGCAATCTTCAAAAGTATTAAATAACTTTTTCCAAAACTAATATTACTCTTTAACACCAGTTTCTAGCCAGTATTTACTGTACCCTGTTAAACCTGATTGAAGACTACAAACTTCAGTACAAAAAATGTTATTTGTAGAATTTGTTGAAAGTCTGAAGTTTAGACTTAAACTTCGTGCAGTAAAGCAAAAACAAACTTCCCTTCTAGTTAATAGGATATGATTTTTCAGATGTGGACGAGTGTCAGGGTAACGTGAGTGTGTGCGACCATTTCTGTAACAACTTGAAGGGTAGTTATCAGTGCCAGTGTCATCCCCAGTATGAACTACAGCCTGACAATGCAACTTGCATAACTAAAAGTACGTGTCCCCGCTATGCATATGACTGCGAATACATGTTAAATTCTGAAGCTAAAGTTTAAAAATTTAATTTTAAAGTTAGTTGGCAATAAAACGTAATTTAACTAAGGAAAACATAACAAAGGTACAAATGGCGAGTTGACCTCGGTTACGCCAGTAACTAGACCTGCTTTTAGTATTTCCTAAATACTAAAATGTATTTAGGAATTTCTCAAACGTTCTAAAGCAATAATTAGAATTTGACTTGTCTAGAATCTAAATGGAAGGAATTTCTTTACAGGCAAAGAACCAGCCTCCTTGTTTTTTGCCCAAGAGAAAGGAGTGAGGCTGCTGAGCTTGGACGAATCTTTCTACAGGCAAATAGTTACAAGCGATGAAGTGGTCTGTATTGTCTGCCTTATTTCCCCCCCCCCCCCCCGTCCTGTTCACAAGTGGTCTGCTTCTAAGACTATAAAACACCAGCTAATTTTTTCTATATAGCTTAAATAGTAACTTCATGCCAGACATGTAGGCTTCTTAAACTAGCTTTGGGCTACTCTTGCCCTAATGCAACCTGCTCTTCGTGGTTTAAGCTTCCATGACTGCATTTCGTTCGGTACAAAGATGCGAATTTCCCGACATTGCCAGTTAAACAACGATTTGCTAGTGAAAATTGCAATTGGTTTAAACTGTTTAGACTGCCACTAAATTGTAGCTTCACTTCTACAGTGATAATGGAAATAGTTAAAAGGACACTGTACATTAACCCTGTAATTAAAATACTTCCGCCATAAATTGACTCATTTGACGCTATTTAGTTTGCAGTGGTAAAAAATTTGAATCCTTTCCTAGAGGAAATTTACTTCAGACGAATTTATAAGAGATACTTCATTAATTCTGCTCATTAATTCACTTAATGGCATTACTTGCAGATTGTTGCACTGGCATATGACCCAGAAGACAAAATATTTTTGGAGCAGTCAGTCGGGGGTTTACAAAGTGTTGCTGGACAGTAATAACCTGCCCCGGATAGTGATAAATAAAGGTAGGTGGTACAAGTTTAGAAAATAAACCTCCACTGAGAAAACAGGCACAATATTGTGACTGGAAAATTAGATAACCTGCACATTAACTTTTCAATATAAAAAAAAAAATTATGAAGACTTTGTAAGTGGTTAAAGTTGGACCGAAACTTCATTAACTTCGGAATTTTTTTTTTAACCCAGCCTTCAAAACTTTGATAGAACACTATTTTACCACTTGGATTTTCTTAACTTCCCCCAAAACTAAAATTTAATTGTAAATTTTGCACTTTCTACCTGGACATGGTATTAATCCTATACCCCCTAACCCCCTCACGACTATCTTGACCAAAGTTTCCAGGGAATATGGGCAGAGAAATGTCAGTTCCACTTAATATGGCTGTGGTAGATTTTAGTCTGGGCACAAATTTGCCAGTCAGGACCTCTTACAGATATTTAAGCTTCGTGTATTAAGTTTTATTTAGTTTTAGAATGGTAATTGTTGAATGCTTCGCTAGACTAGCAAGGAAACTACCTAGGTTCTACCCACTAGTAGCTCCACAAAGTAAATACTTGTATAAAGAATTTGTAAGGTCCTTCAGTATACTCTCGTATGTATATCTACGCAACTCTAACGATGAGGCATTTCTCTAAAATTACCAACTTAAAATATTTTTTTTTTTTTTTTATATTTTATTTAAAACATCATAAATACAAGGCTGCTTAAAAATTAAATAGCATCACCATACATAATCCATAGAGTACAACGAGGTACACACCATAAATACCAATCTTTAACTAATACGTATAGATATATACGACAAACACACCATAAAATGCATACGTACGTTTCACTAAACACACACAATACCAAAAGATATAACTGCGTAACAAATATAACACTGGTGGAAACACCACTTAACCCATTATAACCCACATGCACATCATACAAACATGTTACATTGATGTTTAAAACAATAGTTTATGTAATTTGCATACAAAATATAAAATTGTTTATAGAAATTCCAACTTTGACACAAATTCAATGATTTACTCTAACACAAATTCATTAACATAATAAATATTATATAAATTGACGATCATATTAATCATCAGCAATTTCCATCCATTCCATAAGTGTTCAATCTTGATACCTAAGAACAAACGTTTGAATCACAAACAAAAATCATAATGTTGCTACATATTTATAGGATACAATTGGATAACTCAGGGTAATGTACACGTATTATATCCCCTTAATACCTTGGTGACTCACAGACCAATCGAACAGCAACAGGTAAGGGACAAAACATGCACATATACACACACACACACATACACATGCATATATATATATATATATATATATATATACACATACAAACATACATATATATATATATTATATATACACACACACACACACATATATATATACATAACACTATATATATATATATATATACATATATACACACATATATACATATATACATATATATACATATATACATACATATATACTCACACATATATTATATATATACACACATACACATATATATATGCACGTATATATGTATACATATAAAACATACACATATATGCATATATGTATATATATATGCATATATACACATATATACATGTGTATATGTATATACACACACATACGTGTGCGTGCATATATACATATACACGTATATATATGTACATGTACATGTACATACATATATATATATATATATATGCACATGCATGCACATGCATGTGTACACATGCACGCTCCATCCCCCACCCGCCACCGCTCAACTAGTCTGCGAGTCACCAAAGCATTAAAGGGATATATACATACATACACATATACATACATACATACATACACATACACACATATACATATACACATATATATGCACGTTCATATGCCCAAATATCTGAACCTCCATAACACAGTCAAAAACAAAACTAAGAAAACTAGTGACTCAAGAATACAACGAGCCTTTACACAAAGGAAGCATCAAAAATATAACAAATATATAAAGGCACCCCAGTCATTTTGTACACAAAAGGTACAATAAGTAACCCTAATCCCTGAATCTACAACCACACATCCATAACTAAAAAACATTCATGCCCAAACTCATATTCACGCAACTCACATCCTTCCCCCCAAGAGACGAGCCAGCTATTGCCCACTGACCTACACGACAACTTATTCGGCATGCCCGTATATTTATCACAGATTCACAAGGGTTTCAAGATGTGAGCCTTTTATAACCGTCCGAAAAACCCTTATCCCACCTCCTCCCATACAATTCCCTATTCCTACACATTGTACGATAAAACGTTATTGCAAGGCCCACGCCTTCTTACCTCACTGACCCCTTTTCCCCGCATTACCCACGAAATATAAATGTAATCCACGATAATATAATCTAAAGCCCGTTCAACGTCCTGGTCTAATCCACCGATGTCGAGACTTAACGCACGCAGGACCTGCACTCCTCTGCCTCCCACCCTCTGTACCACCCTACCCAACCAACTCCTGACATCTTCTAAACCTTCGCAAAAATAGACACGTGAAAAGCCGTGTCTTCCCCACCACAAAAACCCACACCCGCCTCCCACCACGACTCTTCTGGATCGTAGTATTGCCCCTGACGGCAATATACCATGTAAAAAACGAAACATGACTTCACGCCCCTAGGCCGTAATTTCAACTTGCTAAATCGGAGCCATATATTTTCCACGAGTACATGGGGAACAAACCTTCTACTGGAGCTGCGCACGTGCCCCCTAGTAAACCTACTTAAAACCCTTATGCGAATGTTCCTCCGTTCCTTTACCATCAACAAAGCTCGTAGTACAATCTCACTTTCCCCTTTAACTCCATTCCCCTATACCACTTTTTCACCCTCGTATATACTTGGTCTATATTTCCCGCCATCACACCCAACACGCCAAACCTCCCACTTTAGAAAAAACACATTTCACCCTACGCTTTAAGTCCAACAATCCTAAACCTCCTCGACGTACAGGTAACATAACAACCTCACGTTTTAAACCAATCACACCTCGATCCCCACAGAAAGGTAAATACTCTTCTCAATATTCCATTGATCGCTGTTCCTGTAATTGGGAATACAGCCGCAACGTGCCACACCTTACTATACAATAAAACGTTAACAACAATAACACGTTGGGCCAGAGTGAGATGTTGGGGCCTCAAAACACCCAGACGACCAATGACCTTTTCCAACGTCCTTACTGAATTTTCCTCCCGCGCCACATCCAAATCGTCTCTATAAAAATACCGCAAATCTTTAATGACATCGCAGTTGTGTTAACCACGTTACAACTCTCCATTCCACCCCCTTTCCAGGTACCCAACCCCATGATCATCGACTTTTCACTATTTACCTTCATACCCGTGGCACGTTCAAACACACGCACAACATCTTCCAACCCTTTCATAGACATTCGTTCACACACAAAACAGTCCGTATCATCCACATAACCTATTAATCCCGGGCCAACAAACCCCTTCCCCTACCCCACCCCCACCCCGGGAACTAACTGTGCTCTCAACCATCCTGTAAAAGGGATCCTGAAAACATGCAAATAAGATCTGTGACATAGGGCACCCTTGTCTTAAACCTCTACCCATCTCAAAGTCCGTCCCCATACACCCATTTATTTGTACCCTCATCCTTGCCCCCTTATACAGAGTGTTTACCACCCAACTATTTCTTCTCCATAACCCTGTCTCCGAAGATACTCTGCAGTGCACCTCTTTCCACTCTATCATAGGCGGCTCGCCAGTCCAAGGCCAGTAAAGCCGCCCCCTCCCCTCCCCCCTTTGACTCCACAAAACTTCTTATAAGCCCGTGACCTTCTAACATCGACCTGCCCGGCAACCATACTGCGATGGCGAAACGACCCTACCCCACCACGCATTTTTCCCTATTACCCAAAATTTTTGCGAAAACCTTATAGTCTGCACAGAGCAACGATATCGCCCTATACTTCCCAAGGTTTGGCTGCCCTTTGCCTTTCGGGACCAACACCACAACTGCCGTATTCTGCTTATCCCCTAACGTACCCTTCTCCTTCATACAATTTAATAATCTTACCATGAACTTCCCAATCAACTCCCAATGCTGCAAATAAAATTCCACCGGTAAACCATCAATACCCCGGGGGCTTACCCTTCCTCATTCCGTGTAAAGCAATTTCAATTTCCTCCTCAGTAATAACCCCACCCCAAAGCCTTCCTATCACTGTGACCCAAAATGCACTCAGCATACGTGCACACCTTACTTAATTCCACTTCATCCACGCCACTACTAGTCCAGTGTTTTTTATACCATGTATCCGCATATGCACTCATAGCTTTTGTGTTTCGTTTTCACTTGACCTGCTCTATGGATTCCCATCGTCTCGTTTACCTCCAAGCTCGGGATTGCCGTGAGCGCCTGCTTTTGCTTTTGTTGTCTCAACACACACGCGGATGGCCTATCTCCCCACAAAACTTCTTCTAATCCTGCTTGCACCCTCACCGCTTGAAACCGCTCATTATGCAACGTTCGCAAGCTCTCTTTTATGTCTACAATCTCGTCCATGGGGTAAACACCACTAACCGATCCCTGCCCATAACAACTTCGTAATCGATCCTCTAAATAATTCGCTAGCCCATATTTTAAAGTGTTTATACGCCTACCCTCCCTCACATAAAATGGACTTTAAACCTTTCCTTTGCCACCGAGTCCCACCACGTTACAATGTCTTCCACCTCCTGAGCTTCCCTTGAAAGCTCATTCCACAGCATAGAAAAACCCTCCAACCCTTCTCATCACTTAACACACTAATATTTAATTTCCAATAATTCCTATAAATTTCGGCCATTCCCTCCCACCCTACCTCCACTACAACTTCCCTATGATCTGACAAGACCGCTCCACCGTATTAAAAGACTTTACAATACTCCCTGCGAAATATACACTCTGTCTAACCTTGCAGCA